AATTTAGTAATTTGTTTTAACAAATTAGTAATTTGTTATAACAAATTGATAATTTGTTATAACAAATTACTAATTTGTTATAACAAATTAGTAATCTGTTATAACAAATTAGTAATTTGTTTTAACAAATTAGTAATTTGTTTTAACAAATTGATAATTTGTTATAACAAATTAGTAATTTGTTATAACAAATTAGTAATCTGTTATAACAAATTAGTAATCTGTTATAACAAATTAGTAATTTGTTTTAACAAATTAGTAATTTGTTTTAACAAATTGATAATTTGTTATAACAAATTAGTAATCTGTTATAACAAATTAGTAATCTGTTATAACAAATTAGTAATTTGTTAAAACAAATTAATAAAAGATACTGCTGCGGCCCTAATACGCTTCCGTACATACATGTCATATGTTGAGAACTTGGGTACATGTTATATTTGGGGGGGGGGGGGGGCTTGCAATAGTGTACATGCATGTAGTATGTTTGGGACTTACATACAAGTGATATGTTTTGGACTAAGGTTCTCTTTTGGACTGTTGGAGGTGGCGACGTCTTTTTCCCAATTCAATGAATAAATTGTAATTTATCTAAAGTCTTTATATAGATAATATTCGGTGATCAGTATCATCAGAATTTCAAATTTAGTCTCCTCAAGCATTCTGAACTATCGCGATCTAGGGTTGTTGGTTGAAAGTCTACTTGCATACCTATCTACTTTCCTTGGAAAACAAGAGTTTTCTGAACAGTTCGAAATTCATATTGCACTCTAGCACAGTTCAGTACAACATGTAACAAACTTAATACGAAAATCAAAAGTTATGTATTTAAAATAAAAGAAACAGACATGCATGTTGTATAACTTGGCTAAACTACACAACAAACTACTGTTGCAGAAGTAATGAAGTAAATAATAAATTTTATGTATATATAATTATGTAAATAAATATATGTAAATAATGTATTTGAAATATCTTTCATTCATATTTTTTACTATTCTCTACCCCCTCTTCTTGTTTTGATCAGGAAATTATTCATTAAGTTTTCTAAACTTACTAGCATAATGTATATCACTACCTGAGACGTATGCTATATACTGTATATAATACATGTACAAAGTAAGAAAAATCTAACTATTCTACGTACTTGTAAAATTCTTCTTAATAAGTGCAGTCAGAAAGGTCTGTGTGTCTAAATCTTTTACAGTCGCCAGATTTGCTCCTATTGATTGACAATAACCCTAAAAATGGTTCCAAAAAAATAACAATTTCAACATATTATAATCAATTTTTTTTAAAAAAAGTATGAAACAATTTATTGTGTCATTAGTTAATATTACCATTGCTCCAGCCCAGTTAGCCTCTGTTCTTGAAGCGAAATAACAGTAACCGCCGTGTGGTTTAAACCCTGCTGGACAGCCATCTGTGGAAAACAAAATTGAAATAATACATGTATTGTTGTTAGCATTTACCTCTTTCAAAATGAAATATGAAAGCAGAATTTAAGGCATTTATAAACATAGTACAATATGTAGAAAAGAAAATCTTGGTTGTTATTAATTGGCATAAGAATATGTACATACTATTTTAAAAGGGAGATCATATATGCATATCATATATCATCATAATCATAATTTCATCCTAATTTGGAAAGAGGGTCATGTGTGCTGATCAGCAAAGATATGTCCAGTTTTTAAACAAACTTGAATAATCTAGATAACATGACTTAGCATTTTATATCAGTTGACTATTAACTTACTTGCATCTACTGGCGGAGGCTGGGCATAGACCACAGCACAAAAGGAGAGCACGGACACAACAAAATATAACATATTCGAGGTATGACCTTCACAATGGAACAAATTAACACAGAAAACAGGCTATCTCAGGTCATAGATGAATAATGAGAGCAATCGTTGATAAGAAAATTTCAACAAAATGACAGCAAATTCGGTGAATTTCATAGGTTACAAAAGAGTCAATTTAATTCGTGGGAGTCAATGTTCGTGGGCGATGAAAATTTTACCGGTTCGTGGGGAGATAATCTTGGATAGCATGTATTTCAAAAGATTCAATGAACCGAGGTATTGATAAGGTTGTTTGTCGTGGGACTGTAAATTCTTGGGTAAAATTGACCCTGAAATCCAGGAACATTGGTACCCCAACGAACAATGATGATTCCACAGAGTTACCAGTTCCTCAGGGCGCCACATAAAAATACAGGTGGCCCACAGTATTCACTTTGTCTATCTGTCTGTCTGTTTAAGGACAAGTTCGTCGATATGACGATATCGATTTTGTCATATATGATGATATGTCTTGTAAGGGACATATACATTGTACCTAATGTCAACGCTTCGTATGGTGCGATAACTTGAAGTTTTTCTCTCTAAGTATTTTTATTAAAGCTGAACACTACCCGTAAAAGGCATTGTCCGCCATATTGCCCTTTCATCGTCGCTATCCCTACGACCCCTATATAAGCCGCAGACCCCCTAAAAGTTCAAAGTATTTCACTGCAGAAGTTTCACTTGTGCAGACGTATATCTTACAGTGCAGTGTTACTCGGTCGCGTTGAAATATCAAATTTTACGCACTTTTTCCGAGTCAGGAGAAAAGAAACATCAAATATATATTAAGACAATGCATCATTTACAAACAGAAATGCACATAAAACAAGGAATAAATGCACAAAATCTAAGATCACGAAAAGGAATTCTACACGTTGGACATGAGTTTCAAGTATGCAATCGGGTATAATGAAATCGAAAGGATTATATACCTTCTTATGAGTAGTGTTCAGCTTTAACTTTATATATTGGGCAAGACTGCTTAGAGAAAGATAGCTATACAAGTGAAATGTCTAAATCAGTTTTCAAGATTATTGATAGTCCCTTAGGATTCCATATCTTGGTGTTTTTGGACTATACCGACTTATATCCACATATAAGTGGAGAAAGATCAAAAGGCAGACATGTATAGAATTTATGTCGAGTTCTTCATGCAAATGTCAAAATCATAGATCGATATTACTATAATAGTATTTCCATATAATTGTTTTGCAAAACATTTTAAAGCTCAAATGAATATACTATGTAGGTGGTTAAGAATATTTAGAGGAAGAGAACAAACTTAAACAGGACCTGTTAAAGACTTGGAGTCAATTTGTTGACGGTCACTATTAAAGGTCAAGTATACTGATATGACCATAATGATGGCATATATGTGTATAGAATAGGGCTTTGTCTAAAGAGTTCACCAAAAATGTAGATAATACAATACCTACATGCACAATGCTAATGTATAAGTGAAGAATGATTAAAGGAATGTTCAAGTACATTTAATTTTGGTGTTCCTTGAGCAAAGGTCAAGTCCAAAGGCTATTATAGTCTAGATGTTCTATGCCTACATGAAATATGGAAATAACGAACAGAATTCAAGCGCAAAAGTCCATTCAAACAATACAAATCAGGAGCAAAGCAAACACACAGACCTCTAAAACATCAGAGGTGAAATCAGGTGCCATAGAGGAGTGAGCATCCCCTACCGACCGGTCATACCAGCCGTGTGCTGCTTGTCATGATCAGGAAAAACGGAAAAATCTGTAGACAATTCAGTGTGTAAATAAGGCCTAACAATTTGACTTAATGATAGATTATATTTTCTGACAAGGTCATTGAATCATCCATAGAACTTGCACAATGAAGATTTTAAATGAGACTGTTGATATTCTTGTTTCATCAACTTGTTTGGCAATAGCTTGCCTCGTTTTAGAAATAGTTCGTTCGTAGAGCATGCTTTTGCGTATCGAATCAACTGAAAGACATAAACTCCATATGCAGGTGATAAGGGTATATTGCTATATCAGTCAGGGAAGTTGTCGATAAAAAAAAAAGTCATCACTGTAATCTATAATAAAGCTTGGTTGTTAGGTTACCATTAACGTCTTTTCTAGTAAGATGTCCAAATATGAAACAGATGTGTCAGACTCTGTGGTGACTTTTGTTTCACTGGGATATATCGAGTCGATATATGAATGGAAGTAACTATTGTTACAAAAATATAGGTCTGCTAATAACGGGGCGCAATGGGTACCCATTGGAATTCCGACAGATTGTTGGAAGACCTTGTCTCCAATTGTTAATCAGAAACTCAAGCATCTTTTTAATGTCAATTTCAGAGTGCTTGTGGGTACAATGAGAATTTTTTTTTCAACAAAATAATGTTGGGAATGACCAATGAGAAGGTAAGTAAATTTACGAGTTCCATTTTCATTGAAAAACCAGCTTTCATCATTATGTCAAAAAGCCTCGACTTTAATTTATCGTGAGGAATAGTTGTAGAAAGTGTTGAAAAGTCATAGGTTTTGATGTTATTAATTTTGGTAAAAAACATACTGTTGATTTCAAATTTTCTAAAAGTTCCTTGGAGTTTTTAAGTATCCACATTTGATTTACACCACTTCTCGAATATACTGTTGAGCAGTACTCCTGAAGTTTCTCCTTCACTGCTGTTAGTATTTTACTGAGGAGTAAAGAAAGAGGTTTAATTGGTAGAACATTTTCTAGAACCTGCTTTGTATCTTTGTTTGTAAGGATTTTTATGAAATTTAGGAATCTAGTATAGGTATGGTAATTTAAATTCATTTTGATTGTTGGAAATATTAAAAATATTTAAAACTGACTTAGGATTCTGAAGAGTTTCCTCCTTAGAAAGGGAGCTACATGTATGGGTATAATTTGGATTGTATTTCCTCTAAAATACAGTTTAAATACAGTTTTTCAAACAAGGACAACGTTGTTACCTGCTTTGTCGGCTAGGACCAGTACAACCTGATCGTGTAATCTATATGTAATTCTTTTTTCACTTCTGAATTATCGAACACAGAAAGATAGATGGTTTTCATATTGCCCCTCATGCACAGTGTATAAGTGAGGAATGATCAGAGGAATATTTGGTGTTCCTTAAGTAAGGGTCAATTATCTCCAAATGGTATATGTAGAATGTTGATACAGGGTTATTTCACAAACACTTCAGCATATATTTCAACCCCTGTGGATTGCCTGCCAGGTCCATCAAAACAATTTCAGTCGGTTGGGGGTTGAGGGAGGGGGCACAAGCTACCAAAAATTTTCGACAAGCAAAGAAAAAATAGTCTTGGGAAGGAACATTTTTTGAGAGCGCACAAACGTTAATTAGCTTAGTTTTTTAATTAACAAAATTATCGAGGGCTGGGTACAACAGATAAGTTTTGTTTTCTATTGTAAAGTATACACTGCCAAACTTATTTCGATTGGAGACGGGTACAGCAGTAAATTAGCTTTGTTCTCTGATGTTAAGTATACGCTGGCAAAATTATTGAGGACTGGGTACAGCTACAGATAAGCTTTGTTCTATAGTAAAGTACTATTGGCCAACTTATTGGGAGATGGGCACAACTATTAATCAGCTTTGATTATTTTCCTGTTAATAGTGTGTAAACATATCCCCCCCCCCCGTGAAATAACAAAACCTTTGGTATGAATTTGTGAAATAACAATTCATAATAATTATTGATTCATATGAGAAGGGGGGGGGTGAAAATAAATTCCCGTTTTCCGTTGATTTCTAGAATGAAAAACACAAGTTTTAACAAAATTAAAGACTTGTCTTTCTTTGTTTTCCCAAACAAGTTATGTTTTATGAAAATTAATATTTCAAGCATGTATATTAAAGATATTAAGATAACAAAACCACAGGTACTTAGGTCTTGGTCTACAATGTATAAATATGTTTACCTATTGAATAAAAAAGTACTTTTTTACATAGCGGTATTCAATAGGTATGCATACCACAGGTACTTGGGTCTTGGTTTATAAATATGTATGTACCTTATTGATATGTAAAAAAAAGTACTTTTTTTTTTACATATCAATAAGGTACATACATATTTATAAACCAAGACCCAAGTACCTGTGATGCATACGTGTTATTTATAAACTATGACCAAGCACCTGTTTTTTATGTTTGCTTTTAATTGTTCCTCAATATTATAATATAATTAAACTGTTTTAGTTACGTTCACGGTTGCATATTTTATGCATTTATACTGACTGTTTCGAACTAAATGTTCCGATGAATAAAATAATGTACGACTTATTAAAAACCGAGCACTTGTTTGCCCTTGACCTTTGTCACCACCATTGACAACGCTATCAACAACATGGCCGCCCGATAAAGAAGAAAATGGACAAATTTATGATTTCTTGGAATGTGTTATTCCTTGACATGTAAATAAGATGTAGGAGAGTCTCTTAACATGATAAATAAGGGCTCGCGAACTGATGGCGGCCATAAACCGCATCTTCGTCTTCTAGATCTGACTTTTGATAATGGGGTGACAAAATCGGAGAACGGTTCCAGACCTCACGGGGGTCTAAGAGGTGTGTTCTAATTAGACCTATTTCTTAATTAAGTTCTTAGTTCACAGCATTATGTATGAAACTATTGCAATGTGATGTATCCAGGTATCTGTGAAGAAATGTGTATTGGTAAAATTATCTACATTTTATTTTCAAATTTAATAAATTGGGCTCATTCCAGAACATAGGGACTTGAGACAATCATACCAAAATCGGGTATATAGTATAATAGGGGAGTACTATATACCCGATTTTGCTAAGACTGTCTCAAGTCCCTGTGTTCCAGAATGTGTCTCTATAATACGGCTTATAAATGGAAGTGGTGAATGTGTACATGTACTTCTAATGCAGTTCTTCTTTTGTAATGATGTAGGTAGCAAGAAGCATCCTTTAAGTCCTTACTCCTTTAACAAATCATCTGAATACCATGCCCAACTTAGAGAAGACATCAACAATCTCTTTAAAGAGGAATTTTTTGACGGACGTGGTTCCCCATCGTGGGCTTTTGGTATCAGTAAAGAGATGACACACAGTGGCGAATCTCCATTTCATGTCCATGGTCTGCTAAGTACTAGTAAAGTATGTAACATAGAAACATAAAATCGTGTCGAGAAAAAAAACCTGCATGGCTAGGCTAAAAAGAAAAGTTTGTTTCCGGTAACCTAACTGACTCTAATTTAACCCACCGACCCTACTACTTTTTTATTCCAAAGTCGGATTTTGAACCATACTTTGTTCACTAGTACAGTTTTCTTATAATACAGTCCATAAAATGCATGTCTCAGAGTCACTGTAAAAACAAGTCTATCCAAGTGTTTTAAAGAAAACACTTGCTTTATTGTGTATATATGCATGTTTATTCAATTGTGTATGTATATATGATGAAAAAACAGTGTATAGCACAATTAGCTAATGCTTTCAAAATGAAAAGTAAAGTTAAAAAAATTTATTGCCTACCTACCTACCCTAATTTTTTTTTCTTTTTTTTTGCATGTTACCGGAAACACAATTTTTTTTTTATTTGGCCTTATCATATATTATTTGATAACTCTATGTAAATACTAAAGTACTTCATCATCATGTGAAATAAACACTATGATTTAATTTCTGATCTTCCAGATGTATAATTGAATTAAGATTCAACCATATTGAATTGATTTTCATTAATATGCAGGGAGAGAATAAGATAAATAGCAAAATAGAATAATATGTGTATAAAACAACCAAACAAATTTTAGATTCATCACAAAATCATTAACCACGAATATTTACAGCTGGAAAGTGAAACAAGCTCGGTTCACAACATCAGACGCTCAGTAACACCTGCTTCCTCTGCAAGAAATACTCCCAGAAAAAGAAATACGGGAACTTCATATTACCGCCCCACGACTCCTCACCAGTACTTAACAGCAACTAATCCATCGCAGCTGTCTGCCAAAGAACTCAAGTATGGAAGACCCACAAGGACCACGTAAGCATTATTTATTTTTGTTTCTTCAACAAGAGACATAATCCTCCTCTTTAATACATGATAAACATATTATATTTAAAGCTTCATTTATCATTCATTATCTCTTGCCTCCTGTACATGTAACATTAAAAAGTTTTTTGTTTTCCATTTTCTATATATTAAGAGATTAAAAGTCATAACATATATATTTCTTAAAAGCAAAATTCTACCTTCCTCATCAGAGAAAGAAATTTTATTTTACAAATTTAAAGTGTTATAAAGCAGAAAAAACACCATTTTCTTCTAATAACTCAAGTGTTATAATATACAATTATGGACTGATTAGAAGGGAGACATCACAAATTATCAGGTCTGAGTAGGGTTGTCACCCTCTGGCACTTGCACCTGAGGGCGCCAACCCTACTCAGACCTGATAATTTGTGATGTCTCTCTTCTAAACAGTCCATAATAGTTTTATTAATTATCCTGAGGAATCTAAATTCAAATATCAGTCAAACCTCTTGCATTCTCTTCGACTCCTACCCACTGCTCTGATTCCATACTTTCAAAATATGTCAACAGTCAATCTTGATGTCACCGTTAGAATTTATTGTTTACTGATCCTGCATATACAGTCAAACCTCATTATTTCGAACTCAATGGGACCAAGAAAATACTTTTAGATATCCGAGGATTCGAGATATCCGAGGATTTCGAGATAACCCTTATTAAAGAATATGGGTTTGGAACTTTCAGGTCACTTTGACATATCCATGGTACAGTGGTTTCCATTTTATCGGATAGCGGTTTAACGAATATTTCGGCTATTTCAATATAATATCAGACCACAAAACCATTTCTTATATATTTATTAATAATTGTGCTTTACAATGATACATTAAATGATTAGAGAGGTAGTTTCCAAGTATGAGTTTTCTCACTTATGACATTTTCTTTTCATCTAAAGGGAAACAACACAGTTGTCACCCTGCACATTTGCTTGTGGTATTTCATTGTCATCTGAAAGGAGACAACACACTTGTTGCCTGTGCATGAGGGAGACATCATGAATTGTCTCCCTGCATGTGACATGCTCTAAACTAATCAGATTGACAGTATTCTGAAGGATAATAAAGATCAATGTTTCAAAGAAAAAAATGTCTTTTTTAAAAAAAAAAAAACAAGTTCTTAGAAATTGCAATTTTAGAAATTGTTTTGTGTTTTATAGCTTACTGCGAGCTAGACAAAGGTGTGCTTCAGCTCCAGTGAATTCCTACGATGTTAGAAGAGAAGTGGTCAAAAGTAAGTCAGATGTTAAACTTTAACATAAAGATTAAATATATCAAACGAGATTGACAGTATTTTACAAATTAGAATGGTGAAATTCATGTACATGTTTGTTAAATAAAAGAGTTTTAAAAAGTGCAATAGAAATGGGATGAGAACATTTTTTTTTGGGGGGGGGGGGGGGAGGAGGAAGGGGGTTTGTTACTTTTTTTATGGCTTTTGTTTCTTGCTTTTTTTTTTTTACTTATTTGTTTATTCGTGTTTTTTTTTTTCCTTTCCTGTTATTGTTGTAGCTGTTTTTAATCTTTTTATGTTCAGTTTATTTTTTTTTAAACTGATTTCATTAAACTATCATAATGTCCTTCAGATCCTTTACACAATGTAACTCTAAAGTAAGTGTTTCGAGTTTTTCCTCAGTTTTCTTCATTGCATGTTGTTGTATACATTTCTTCACTTGGATATGGACTCTGGACAGAAAATTTTTAATTTTTGAAACAAAATATATTTACATTAACATCCCTTTCTTTTCAATTACATGTGTAATACATGTTTTTACAGTAGGTGTATCTGGTTTATACATATCTATCTAATGTAACCAATCACTCAAATTCACAATAGGTGTTAAATTTTCGAATTCAAAAATAACTTTAGAAAAAAATTAATTAAAAAGAAATTTAAAAAAGGAGTCTGTTGCCATAAAATTTTGCCTGCTTTATAATAAAAATCAAGATCATTACCATTTCGTATCATATTGATGATTTTTTTTTATTCTTGAGTTTGTATCCTGTTATTTCAGCTATAGATATAGATGAGGTGGAACCTGAAACATTTCGTTATGCAGACCACTGTCTGTCTTGTAGAGGTATCCCACAGAATACAAAACTTAAATCAATATTCAGTCACTCATATTTTTTTCATTGCTGTCACCACTTTTGGCTGAAGGGTGGATTTTTATTTTCTCTTTTCTTCCAAATGCATGGATTGTTTCAAGATTTTATTTCTTGCTTTCATATTATATATTTGGAGATATCACATATTGAATGCAAATGTAGATTCTATTGATTTCACATAAGTTGATATTTATATTCTGTAGACTTTTGTTACATGTAGATGCGTGTTTTGTTCCACTACTGCTTTTTCTTTTCTTTTGGAATATATATTTTTTTTAACAGTGTACTATTTTTATTATAATTTTAAGGTTCATGAGGAATATAATTTTTATCCTGTATGCTAGTAACCCATTATAGAGAAAAATATACCCACTTTTAAGATGATTGTTATCGTATTCTAATTATTCAGTATCAAATAAAAAATTATGTTATGAATTAATTTTGGAATTTGCACTTTAGAATTATGCAAGTTCCTAATTAGGAATTTCTACAAATGTTTGATCTCTTGAAAAATTACTAAAATTAGAAACATCAAACAAACTTTCAAAGAAATCAGTCACTACTGTTGGGGAAAAAAATCCTATCCAATTAATCAGTAATGATTGACTAAGGTGATTAAAATTCTGTGGTTGTATGGTTTAGTTGATTACACCTGATTACATGCATTACAAAGTGTACATCAAGGAAAGATATATATCTTAAAGAAATTCCAATTATTATTTAACTTCAATTATGCAGAAGTTTAGGGACATAGGTAATTTCAATTAAAAGCTTATTGTTTTCTTTTCCTATTATGATATTATGTATCATATCATATATTATGATATTTTGTTATTTTTTTTTTAAGGAAAAAATATAATTTAAATGAATCAATACACTTTTTATAATAACAAACTTTTTTTTTTAAACTCAGAAGCAGAAAACTCTCCATCCACTGGTCAAGTGAACAAAGAGTAAGTTTTTCCACATGATAAAAATATTTTGTTCATAAAAAAAACTATTTATAAAGCTTGAAGTGCAGATTTAATTATTAATATTCATCTCACATGTGTTTGAAGTGTTAATTAACATGTCTTTGTTTTTGACATAATTCATTAGATTTTTCACTGAAGGTGAGTGTCCTCACGTAATGATCCACCGTGTGACAAATGCGCGGGAAAATTAATGCACATGTGTTGTACATGTGATGCTCATATAAATTATACAAGTATGACTGTGTAGTTCACTGTCACGTAAACATGTTCACGGTACTGGATACGATAGAATGTAGACTTCAAATTTAAATGGATATGCAAATCATTTTTATTACTTATGTACCATACACTGAATGAATGCATTGATGCAATAATTTCACGCAAATTCAAATTTGCATGAAAATGCATGAGCGGCAAATATATGTTGGATGTTTATTTCATACATGTATGTTATTGCACGCCTGTATTAATGCATGCTGTTACAAGTTATATATGAGTGCATGTTGTTGTCTTGAGCTATAATATATAATATTATGCAATACATTTCAAAAAACGCACGTCGTATACTTGTTCAAATATATTTACCGTCGTTCAACCTTTATTATATTCATGAAAATCTGCATTGAAGTTCTATACACAACTGTATAAATCCATTGAAAATAGCAGCTTCCACTTATCGCCCATGACTTCAAAAACTGAACCGATTGTAATCATAGATACAGGTGAATAGTGCATGTTAACTAAGCACGTTTTGCGGAGAGTCGTCGACAACTTTAGACCTTTTTATTAATGACTCATTTTGTACCGCATTGCATGAGTTCCATCTGTCATTAAATTTTTCTAGGTCATTTAATTAAAATTTTAATTATTTTTTCTCCGGAGAATTGAAGTCTCTTTTGAAATCTCTCCTTTGATCTTTTTCTCGATAGACGAATTTCTAAATGTCAAAACCAACATTATGAAATGCCTTGTTAAAATCAGACCTAGATAAAAAGAAGGAGAATTTACTTCGTTCCGTGGTTAATAGAAAAGAATGAAATTTATTATTTATATAATGTAAATGTATAAGAGAAATTATTTTTCTATATTTAATTAAGTTATCAAATTGTGGAATGCCTTCAAGAATTTTGTCCCTTTTTTAGGGTGAAAAATGTGCATGTTGTTGTATACGTCCATGCTACGCGTAAAACTGATTAGGAACGCAAGTCACATACACACTGTAACTACATGTACAACTGAACTGAACTGCAGAACTGGAAATACATTCCCTAACATGATTTCCCGAAAGAGAAAATTGATTCTTTATGTCCCTTATTTAACATGACTAATGCGAATTTTGTCCATCGTCTGTCTGTGTATCTGTACAAATACTATTAATATGGGTTTACTTTTAGTGGTAATAGCCATTGTGAGGAGGAAATATTTTGTATATTCTTTTACAGTGCCTTTTTATGTGGGGTTTTTACTGTTGGGTGAAGTTTGTCATGACAGAAGTTACTACAGAAATGTCCATGTCATTTTACCCCACAATGTTTTATATTTTACCCCTTAATGTACCTGTCAGAGAAAATGAACATCTATTAAATCTGTAAAAGTGTCAAGAAATGATAATTTTATCCACATTTATTGGCGCACATGTTCTTTGACCAATCGTTTATATAGAAAAGAATCCTTTAATAGCTCTTTTTTTTTCAAAATATTTTTTCACACATATATGAATTGTTCGATTTGTTTCAGGGTTTTTGTCGCCCCTCCAGAAGGAGAATCCCCCCATGCTTTCCTGACAGGAGCGAGATATAACAGGTATACCTATATATATAGCATAAAAATGTACATGTTTATGCACCATATATATAATCAAACATTTTCCGTTTCGGAAAAGAAAATTTTCTTGCACTTTCCATATTTCACAGTATGCTATTATGTGACTAAAATGTCCCAAATCTTACTTTTCTTTTTTTTAATTTGCTGGACGTGTTTTCACGCAGAAATTGAAGCATTCTCTAAATAAAAAATCAGGGTTTTATTAGAGAATGCACGAGTATTATTTCGAAATAAAAGTATTTAATAGATAAGGTCAGGGTAAAAATTATCCTATTTTTAATCCACTATCTACGAGGGTTGTACGGTAAAATCGTGGACAAGTTGTCCTATAGTGAAAAATAATCATCAATGTGTTCTAAAATTTTCATTACTTTTTAGTACATTTATCATCAATATACATAGCAAATTTCAAGTAGATATATGCTCAAGTAAACAAAATATGAGACTTTATGTTATGTGTGGTATCGCCTTAACGACGCACGTATGATAACCTCAAAGTGTCTAAAGCAGCGTCACGTTTCGTCTTTGCTAAAAAAAAGTTGGATAAGCCTCACTTAAATTCAGGGATTTCATTGATGCACATACTTGAGTTTTCCTTTATTCCTCCATAAAACACTCGAGGAACCAATCTCGCACACACAAGGGACCTTCTGAAGATTTATAAGTAAGTTATGGACAGTACTCTGTCATTCAACAAAATAGGCTATCTTATATCGACGTTCAACAAATTGAAAGGGTCCCCGGGTAGAACAAAACATACGGAAAAATACAACTACTGGCAATAGCGAAAGACGCTGTCACTGTAGATCGTCGATATAAGATAGCCTATTTAGTTGAATGATAGTGAGAGTACTGTCTTTAACTTACTAATAAATCTTCAGAAGGTCATGTATGTGCGAGATTGGTCCCTCGACTGTTTATGAAGGAATAATAGGAAACTCAAGTATGTACAACAATGAAATTCCCGATTTAATTTGGGGCTTATCCAACTTTTTTTTTTTTTAGCAAAGAGGAAATGTAACGCTGCTTTAGACATCCGTGCGCCGTAAGACGATAACACGCATAACATAAAATCTCATATTCTGTTTATTTGAGCATATATCTATTTAAATTGAAGAAAAATGTACTAAAGAGAGTGAAAATTTTAGAACGCAGTGATGATCATTTTTCACACTAAACAACTTGTCCACGATTTTACCGGACAACCCTCCTAAAGAAATTGTAATAGGAAAAATAAAAGCGTGATGAAAATCTAAAAGTGTTTATTATTATTATTCACATTGCACTCTATAGGACAGATCACTTTAAGATTTTTGTTATAAACACAATTATTTTCCGCCTTTCTGTTGTTGCTTTTCATTTAATTGTGTAAATTGTGAACATTTTCTATCATTAGTCGACGGGCATTTTGTAAATGCCAGAATTACAAATGACATTTTAAAAATCGTAAATGTTTTTGTCTTAAGTAACAGTTCGTGAGCTAACAGTTATATAAGTACGATTTTCTCTGTCTTGAACACGTGACTCTACTAATAAATAATATATTTTTTAAATATTAAACTGCATTTCCCAACAAATGTAACAAATGTATATTTTCACTATATTAAATGATAAATAGCGAGGAACTTTTCCTAAATAATTACTTTAAGCTCCAGATATTTCTGTTTTATTGATGCAAGAGATATTTGATTTTGGTTTTTTTTTCTGTCTTATAATTTACATGTACACAATTTCTACCAATTTTGAGTTGCAGCCTTAAGCTTGCATAGGTTGAAGGTGACAGTATCTGGGGTATTGCCGGGGTTAATAGTGATAGAAATCTTCATGAGATAAAATTTAACGAGTACCTATTGCTTTTCTTTCACACAAATACTTATGCTTATATCTATTTTAAATATGCGATCACCGATCAAAATTTATCATATAACTATTATAATGGAATTAAACCATCATTGTCCGTTGTTTTTCACAGAGCCCATCTACTCGATGCCAAAAGTTTATCAGTTTATGGGGTATATATGCCAAGGACAAATCCTCAAGGAATCTTTATGACGGGTCATGCCACACAGAGGTCAAGGGATAAAGGTCAAAATATACCCGCGGTCCCCCCAGGTATGCTCGAATACTATATTTTTGAATCATTATTTCAGAGCTTTTGGTTTTAGCAGTGTTGCTCAATCAGCAGTGTTGCTCAGTCAGCAGTGTTGCTCAATACATGTACGTATCTACTTTCTGAAATGCCTAAGGGTTACAGCCAAGTTGGGAAGATGAAAATACGGCTAATAGTTGTTAAGATATCTTTAACCAACTAGAAATTGATAAAATTCACTATTTCATTCACACTTTTGTTGACCTGTTCCAAAGCATATCGTATGGTTTACAAAATCCCATCGTACTAGATGGTTTTAATTGATTATGCAAATATTTTTCGAAAATATATCCATACATGTAGGTGGTATTTGACAGAAGTGCATTAATTACTTAATATAAGGGTCATTACCACAGTGTTATAAATATAATTTCTTTGACATTTCCTGAAATGCATGTTTTACATTATTTCCAATTCCATTTCCGTTTATTTAGAGTGACAAGACATGCATTAAAACTGTAAAAGGGACAAACTGTTAGTATTTATATCAAGGCCAAATATAATAAAAATATTATGAAACTCATTTTTCACTTTCCTTGTTTATCTGGGTTCCAAAGCATGTGCAATTTAATTGCTTATACACAAATAGAATCGTATTTTCTGTAAATGTACAACAGTTACTGTATATGTTAGAAAACAACTTACAGAAAGAAGGAGAGCATTCATTAATCCTTAAATCCCCAGTATAGGTTATTAAGGACCCTCTGTATACTTATGTAAAATGTTTTTGGAGTTTAAGAAAATTATATCATACTGAAAAGAAAAAAGTGAGTTGATCCATTTCATTTTCAACATAGGGTACCTGTCATTTTCCCTCAAGATAAATGTTTAAAGACAGCGTAGTTTCGATGAACAGAAATCACTTTTGCTTTCTAAATGGGGAAAAAGATACAAATAAAGTATTCAGTTGCTTCAACTGTGTCTAATGAATGTTAACAATACTTGAATTTATTTTAAATTATATATTTCACTGTAAATTTCAATTTATTCAATTTAAATCAAAGGGCAGATCATTCTACCTGCATAAAAGTACCATGAAATAGGAACTCTTTGGTGTGTAGTGTATAAAGGGTCCTTAATAATCTAAGTTTATTTATAATATCGGCGATTGGTAAGTAAACTTATATGTGTAGGAAAAATCTACACAAAATGTTGGTACTGTTTTAGATTCGCCACGATCTGACGTCGACGAGGCGTCAAAACCAGTGGTGAAGCGCCCATCTACAGCGCCGGGTAAAAGGTTACTATCTTCTGGTTCCTCACAGCACCCTGGGGGACGCCCCCGCAGTGCGTGGGGGGAAAACTCCACAACATGTCACTTGGTGCACGGGGACACTGAAAGTGAGAATGAGAAACCTAAGAAAAGTTGGTGGCTTAGTGGTAGCACGTGGTGGTGGTCGCCATATTGTAGATGTGTCGCTTCTCTAACCATCTCTGTAGCGTCTTTTTTCTGTTTTTTTTTTTTATTTTTTGGCTTGTAACCTAGATAGTATAGAAATTCTCATGAGCATGTGTAGAAATCGTTAATCTAGTTATTTACAAGCTGTTTTGAAATGGAGAAATGATATGTACAGGTAGTATATGTGATTCATAGACACATAACATACTTAAAGTATGAGCGACATCATGGAGTGTCGTGTTTGAACGGTTCCGTTTAGGAACATAAAGAAGATAATTGAAAACATTATTTCTACATTTAAAGGCAGTAAACAATTCTGCTTCCTCTTGATGTTACTATTGCACATTTAAACACCCCACGAGAAAATGAAAAACAAATGTGTGATTTTAATAAACACTCTCCCAACAAAAAAATATACTCTCGAATTTAGATAATTTGTGCCAAAAACATGAAAAAGTCCACTATATTTCAATCCTAATAATGAATGAATTTTCGGTAGATTTCTACATGTTAACTTTTGATGAAAAAATATTTGGATGGAAATTGTACTTATATTAACCGCTGTCAGAGCAATTCGGCCCTGGATGCAATATAATTTGAGTCAAATGTAACATAAATCACTGTGATTTTTGGGCCTTAATAATTTACAGCATTCTGAAAACTAATCATTATGATAAATCAATATTGAAGTTTCTATTCAATGATTTGCGTTATTTCAATAAAGCTGCTGTATTAAAAGTAGACAGATATGATACATGTAATGTAGGTCACAAGAATAGGGAAATGTTGAATTCTAAAGACTACTGAAATTTTAAATTAAATGCATTTGTAGAAGAAAGAAAATACATATTTTTCTTATAAAACAATTTATTTCTGACAAAGAGTTGTATCATTTAAACAAGGAAAGCATAAAAGGTAATAGGGTTTCACGGCAATAAAGTTTTGTTACGTAATTCACTCTACGTTTGGTGACAATTAAATATTGCAAATTTTCATTTCATTAGCACTATCCTGGTAACTGCTTTTTAAAACAATTTATATTTTTTTATGTAATAAGAATTGTTGAAATATATTGGCTAAGATTGTATTTTCCAACAAATATACAATTTGCTATCAATACAGACACTAGTTGTCTTGGATTTTTTCGATACTTTTAAAATGCATCAAAATGCCTTATAATGATATATTTCATAATAAAACTTTTTAAGGTTTATATTCATTTATTCTTTGAAATGAAATATTCCTTCTATATATCGAGCACTTAACAATATTGCTTTTTATTTTGAGAAAAGAAAATTTAAGATTGATGCAACTTAACTGAATTTTGACGTATGATAATGTTACGTTTTATAACAGGTACTGCTTTAACCAAGCATGACTTTCACGCTTTTGAGGAAAAATATGAATTGAAATTTGAAAATGTAAGGTTGCGACAGTAAATATTCGTTATAAACCCCCCAAATAAGGTAGCCTTTTTCTGTCTTCAAGTTTTCATCTGTAAGGTGCTAAAATGTGTTATTTATTCTATAACACCAGAAAGTGTATAAAATATTTACTGAATTGTTTGCTAAATGAATAAAGAACCCACAAAGGCATAAAGTGAGATTAAGGAACTTCAGTACTATGCATGTTTATATCCCTCAATGCATTGAATGCAGTAAAAACAATGACAAAATTACGTGTACCGTATTTATGACAACAGATCGAAATAGAGAAAGAGAGAGAGAGAAAGAGTTAGCTTGAAGGTGCGAGTGCATCTGGCACAGCTTTACACAGCAAGCACATACACCTGCTTAGGTGCCAGTGTCGCATCACATTTATGTACACGTGTCGTGTGTTTCTATTTGCAAGCGATTTATTAATTTTGTCTGCTTATTGAATACTTTTGCTTTGCTGTGTCATTTTGCGTAGTAGAATTACGCTGTAGTGTTTTATTTTTCAATATTCTAGGCTTTCATATAGAATATATGTTTAATTAATCTTTTTTTGGCAAATATTAATATATATTCTCACATCCTAGAAGTCATTGACCAGCTGGTTTAGATTTAATAACAGAAACATACAGACCGAAAATGATATATTTAATCATATTTATTGATTTTACAGATATATACTTTTAGGTGTACTGGTTTGTTAATGTGTTAATACAGGATTTGTCTTTATATTTTCAGAGGTAGTGTTGGTGACATTCAAAGGGAGTAAACATTTAAAAAGTCCGGAATCCGTTCTTCCATCCGTCACCGGTCGCACCGCTCCAAAAACATACTTTCGCAGACCACGAGAAATGGCAGATGATTCTGCCTCTTTGCATGCTCAGCCTCCACCCACTCCTGTTGGAGCGTTTTCGGTTCGGGATGAAAGTGAACAAGTTCCAACTGAATCCGAACGAGAAAATTTGGACTCTGTTGTCCCGAATCCGAATGAGGTACCAGCGCATACAGACGTAGACCAAAGACTGGACAAGATAGTAGAAAAAGCGGACGCTGATGATAAAATATCAAGTAATCAGGATACTTTGCTCGAAAAATCCAGACTTACGTCGTTTGAAACGAAGAATGGCGTAGATACCGAACAACCAGAAACTAGCAAAGAGAATAGTAAAGAAGAAACAAAACTCCTAGATATTACTGAAGTGACTTTAAATGGCCAAGACTCAAACAAAATAGATAGTGTAACTAATGAACAGAAATTAAAGGATGAAATCTTCATCACAAACAATGAAAATCATATCTTAAACGGCGATGATGATAATGTTGACGATACAGATAAAGAAAACATTCCTTCTGACTTAAAAACGGACTGCATGGCAGAGGAAGAAATTCCCACACAGATTCACGTGACAATCACGGAAAAACCGCATGATTCCACACCAAATTAACTTCAGATTAACATTATTACCGTTCTTTGTTCTTCAAAGAACACTAATCAAGAATTTTTCGGCCTCTTTCGTTTTCAATTATCAAAAGGGGAAACAATATATGCTAGGTCTTGATTCATTCTAATATCTTTATTACGGCTGTAGTTTGCATGACAATGTACTTTCGTACTTGCATATACATGTAATTTCATGAATTTTAATCGAAATAACATGCAACCTAGATCTAATAATTATTCCAATTATAGTCGAATAGCTTTCTTTGTTTAAGGGGATGAACCTGTTCATTTTCTTGTACGCATTTCCTTTATTCGAAAGTGATTAGAGGTCACCGGATTTAATAAATGTCTACAACTCCTTTCCATTCTCTTAACGGAAAATAACAGCTGTAAAGTTATTGACACAAATGAATAATATTTACCAATGAAAATCTCTGGATTCCTATTCAGTCTTTCCCCCAAAAAAGAACAAACGAAAAAGTATACATTTTCTTTACTAGGGAGAGGTGTACAAATCTTTTTGGTTGTTTCATTTTGTAGTTTCAAATTACATGTCACTTACATGTAAATGATAGACTTATAAAAGCATGTTTAATTTCATTTATCACTGCTTAGCCGATAATCTATGATCAAACTTCAAGAGAATATAAGTAAACCTTAATTCATATGACGATTTTGAATAACTATTAATGAGACAGTTATATTAATTAACTCCAGACCAGTCTTCAACTGCAATAATAATGAAGAAATAAAACGGGATTTCATATATATATATATATATATATATATATATATATATATATATATATATATATATATATATATATATATATATATATATATATATATATCTATATATCTATCTATCTAACAGTTTTGCGGTGAGAACATAGTTTACTTCGTTATTATGTCTCATGTTTTTGTCCTCTTGCTAGTCTGTCTTTCGTCATGGAAGTCATTTTTTTTCTTTGAATACCGAAACGTTTTTTTTATGTGACAATCATTCTTTCATATTGCATTTATGTATTTGTATTCCGCATAATAAATCGAGATTATAGAGAGTGTTTTCCTCCATTTTTCTGATATAAAGGTACTCCCTTATATAGGGCGTTTAACGCCCATTCCCACATATGTAGATATGTCACTCTTACAGTTGAAAGTATTTCAAGATGAACTCTTTGTTTTATTGGATGGTCACGCAGTTATGCATTTACACGAAGCTTGAGGGGCCTATGAACACTTTCTATCCAGATTTTGTCATCGAAATTTCCAACAAACGACATGACTGTGAACAACTACCAGAAATTTTTTGATTGATATATCTCAAAATTAAACATTCTGTGTGTTGTGATACTCCAATTCTTGTAAAAAAAAAAAGGCAAATTATCATCAAAGGCCAATTGACACACATAGAGATCGCTGAGAAACCTACATGTATGGGTGATTTAAAACATCCAATTTTTCAATGATCTCTGAAAGCAATAATGCGCTTGTGAAACTCCTTTACTCAAAGATAATCGTTCGACGGTCACCCAGCCATCGTCATAATCTCTCGGTGATCTCCAAGAGGTCTCCATGGTCTCAAAATTTTGACTCTATAAAACAGTCCCTTAACTGCAAAAGCAAGCAGTCTCTCAGAGAACACCCCAAGGATCACCCTATAGAAATATTACCAAACAATTTCTTGGATCTCCAAATGATCTCTCATTGGTCTTTCAAAGAATGTAAAAATGTTTTGAACGCCTAAAGATAGAGATGTATGAGAAATCATTGGGAGACTAGCTGCGCTTACTGTAGACGGCATCGGAGACATATTGGAGATCAACGTCTGCTTGAGAGATACATCAGAGATAACAGAGATTTGTGTGAGATTTGGGAATGACAGCTATGGCGTTTGGTTGCACTATGCCCCCAAAAGAAGCATATTATGTTCTCTCCTTATTAAATTTACAAATAAACCGACTTTTCGTCTTTCAGAGATTGCAATACTTTGAAATCTCCCAAAAATATCTCAAAGATCTTTATATGTATAAAGGAGCTTTTATGCGATGAAAAAAGCAGGATATTACCACATTTCATGATGATCTGCCTCTTCCAGATCTTACACTAGTCTCTAAGTCTCTCAAGGAGACTTTAATCTCTCAAAGGACTCCAATATAGTCTCAAGTCTTGTTCAGCTGGTCTCCTTGTGAACTCCCAATGATCTCTCTGACATTTGTACCTTAAGGCGTTCAAAGCATTTTGTGTATTTTGGAAGACCTCAGGGAGATCACTGGGCTATCTTTCTGTGTGCAATCTTTGAGAGAATGTTTATCTTTGCGATCGTTGCGGGATGACTTCAGCTTTTCTACCAACTTTCCCTGTTTATGTAAAAATATTCCACATTCACCTGAATATGGTGTTTGTATCTCCCAACTGATTCGACATACTCGAGAGCATGTTCTGTGTACGTTCAATTTTAATGGAGGCAGGCTACTGACAAATAAGTTAATGTTACCCGATTTTCGATTTCATGTTCCTCGTATTTCTTTTAAAGTCCACATTTTGCAAACTCTATGGTCGTTATAATGACCTTCTCTGCAAATAGTGGTAGTTTGACTAACATGTTTCCCACCGATTTTTAAGCCATTGTCATATACCTTTTTGACTATTGATCACTCCGTTTACATGATTAATACAAAGAGCTCACGGCTATAGTGTGGCCCTGTCGACAGGGCATGCTTAGTGCTCCTGGGCACCTTATTCACCCTCTGGTATTTCCAGCGGTCTGTGTTTTTGTCCTATTCATGATTCGGTTTTTTCTTTGTGTATGGGATAGGGTTCTTTTGTTTTTTTTTTTGGGGGGGGGGGGAGGGAGGGTGTTTTTGTTTTTGCTTTTGTTTTGTTTTTGTTTGTTTGTTTGTTTTTTTTTGTTTGTTTGTTTATATATATATATATATATATATATATATATATATATATATATATATATATATATATATATATATATATATATATATATATATATATATATATATATTTGTTTTTTTTGGGGGGGGGGAGGGAGGGTGTTTTTGTTTTTGCTTTTGTTTTGTTTTTGTTTGTTTGTTTGTTTTTTTTGTTTGTTTGTTTTTGTGGTCATCGGAAAATTCTGAATTCGATCTTTTTTTTCGAATATTTTTAACATTACGTGAAATTAAACATTTTGTTCAACCTAATGTGTTACCGAGTTCAGAGTTATTTTATTAGAAGTGGAAAACGAACTGGAATATATATATATATATATATATATATATATATATATATATATATATATATATATATATATAAAGAATAAGGAGAAAAAGTAAACAACGATATAGGTATATAACTAACAACAGTTTATTAGAAATTCATGCATATGGCTATAAATTCTTTGGCTTTAGGGAGTTGTTGCAAATGTTTCTCGGTCTAAAACTTGGACTGTTTTAAAACCATTTATACTATTTGTGAATGCTTTATTCCCATATAGGCAAATTCAAAATTTCGTATTCCTACCCGTATATAATGTTATTTAGGCTTCTTACCTGTAATTATCACCTCAGATGTACAATCTTATCATCATACGTACATATCATAGAATAGTTTTTTTTTTAAATGATACATGTATGTTACCATGTTTTTCCATCATTTGCAATGAATGAAATGGAGATAACGAACAGCATTCGAGCTCAAAGTCCATTTAGACAATACAAATCTGGAGCAGAGTAAACAAAGACCTCCAAAAACATCAGAAGTGGGATCAGGTGCCATGGAGGAGTGAGCATCCCCTGCCGACCTGTTACACATGCCGTGTGCTCCTTGTCATGATCGAAAAAACGGAAAATCCCTAGACAATTCATAGTGTAAATAATGGTCTAACAATCAGTATGAAAAACGTCAGTCAGCATGTGACTTAATGATAGGTTGTATTTGCTGACAAGGTAAAAAAAAAATAACACAATACTTCCTAACTAATTTAAAGCTCCCACTTTTCCCAAACGACAATGAATGTGCATTGCATCTGCACCCTAATCATAAAAAATATCTCTGAAAAATTCCGAATTTACCTTGAAAATCAACAGCTCCTATTACTCTAATGATCTTCTTACTTTTTTATCAAAATTTTATATGTTGTTTAAAATTGAACTCGAATTTGTCGAATCCAATTCATATGTCTCATTATAGGGCTACAATCATGAACATTTGTTATTCCAGAACATATCCCAATAATGTCACCTTTTCTCCTTTCTAAAAGTGTATATCTGATTCTATGTTTCTAAAATATCATCCATTAAGCATAAATTTAATTTAAAAGATGTTTAACATAGATCTTTTTTTCACCTCATGATTACAGATGTAAATGATTTAAAGGGGTTACTTGTATCTGTGCAGTACAGGTTATTTTTCTCAGCCATGATATTCTCGACCATGATTGTTTTGGATCAGTTTAGTATTAACTTAAGTATAGCACTGATAACATATCTTTTAATGTCTATCCTGGTGTTTCCACATGGAAACAGGTTATTGTGTGTTTCTAAATTTAAATGACTAAAAACATTAATATTGATCGAATCGTGACTGGGAGTAAATTTAAAATATATGAAATTGCGTTGAAAAAAAAAAAAAAACACGATGTGCATTTACGCAATATACTCTACATAATCCAAAAATACTTTTAATTATAGAAATCTGGTTTGTGTTTATTGCACTTTTATCATTTTCAAACAATAACAAAGGCAATGCAGAAAATGTCCTCGAAATACATCAGTTACTCAGATTTATGTTTCTGAGGGAAAAAATATACCTTTTGTTAAATTCTAACGTCAGAATCTTGTACATGTGTTATACAAAGTTTAATCATATTTACAGAACATTTCATTTTTCTCTTATATAGGAAATACGCTCTATAGGTCCAACGGGTATGTTGATAGATATCAATTTAAAAGGTGAAAGATCCATTTTTATTGAATTACAATCGAAATAAAAGAAACAAGATGGACTCTATCAATTGTTACATAACCAATACACGTAGATGAAGTGTTTGCAACTCACTCTATTTTTCGAACTGTGCTATATGTGCAATTATAATAGAGAATGTTTTATTTCAATTCGAGAGGGATTTTCGGCCTATTATGACTACATAGTCAAATGTGACGAACAGTGTTCATTATCAAAAGTCCAAGCTATACAAATTATAAACAGAGCCATCACGGACCTCTAAAAATAAAGGTGGGATCAGGTGCAATGAAGGAGTAAACATCTCCTGTTGACTGGTCACACCCCGGCCGTGTGTCCCTTGTCATGATCGGGTAATCTGAGAAATCCGTAGACAATTCAGAGTGAAAATAATGGCCTAACTGAAAGATGCCAGTCAAACATTCGACTTAACCACAGATTGTATTGCAAAGACATTCTGTTGACCATAGAATTTGCAAAATGTCGACTTTGAACAAGATTGTCGATATCCTTGTATCATTAACTTACATATATTTGTCAGTAGACTACCTCGTTTTAGAAATTGTTCATATGTAGAATATGCGCGTATCGAATCAACTGGGCAACAAAAACCCTTATGCAAGTGATAATGATATATTGTTAAACAATATTAGTCAGACTCTGTGATTATTTTTGTTTCGAGTTCAGTGGGATTTATCGAATCAACTTAGGAATGAAACTGAATATTGTTAATTGATATATCATTGATGGTATTTATTTTGTTAAAGATGTTGGTTATTTTGTATGCAAACGAAAC